AATCACAGTAAGCACTTAATAAATGATAAATGAATGCATGAATAAATGAATGGAATCTTATTCTCCCAGCTGGGAGTGACTGAGAGGTGGATGCCAGCAATTTCCTCTGAGCATGGAGAAACTGCACCATGTTTTTGGAGATGGAGGTCTGAATTTCCCTTCTGAGGCTAGGCAGCTCTTTTATTTCTGGAAGGAAAATACTTTGGGGGAAAAAAGCTGTTAACTACACAAAAGGTGAAACAAAGGTCCCTTTTTGAAATGAAAAGTTTTCAGATGAGGAGATTTTAAACTCTTCTGCATAATTATGTAAAAGGTTTTTTCTTTTTTTAAAAAAGATTTATTTATTTGAGACAGAGAGAGACAGAGATAGCGAGCATGCGCGTGTAGGAGGTGGGTCAGAGGGGGCGGGAAGAGAGAGAGAGAGAGAGAAGCGGAGTCCCCCATGAGCTGGGAGCCCAACGCGGAGCTTGATCCCAGGACTCTGAGATCACAATCTGAGCTGAAATCAAGAGTCGGACGTTCAACCAACTGAGCCGCCCAGGTGCCCTGTAAAAGAGTTTTTCATGTGGGTAGAGTTATAACTCTGCACATTACTTCTTTTTGGAAAAGCGATTTTTCCTCTCTGTGGCTACTCATGCAGTAAGGTAAATTCCAAGGAAAGAGTCGTAAACATGGCTGCTACATCACCGTGAAGGACTGGGGTTAAGGAGAGAAGTGGTTTGGCTCAAGAAATCACAGAAGGAAGAAAGTCATCACACATGCACACATGCACCCCAGGGGACAAAACTTGTCACCTGCTCTCCTGGATTAAAAACAAGCATTGATTTGTTCACAGTTACAGTGTCAAAAATTAAAATTCAGCATAGAAGTAAATGTTATGGCAAAATAAAGTGTTTTCATAGATCATAGCTAGTTTCTTTTTTATAATTCTTTCTTCGTAGTTAATCATTCTTCATTTATTAATTTTCTTCTCTCTGTCAGCCTATAAAGTTTTTGGGGATTACATCTTTATACATAATGTTATAGATAGTTATCTATTAATTCATTTAAAATTTTCCATAATATGATTTATTTTACTCTTTGCCCAAACTGTAGGTGACTTATGATAGAGTAGAACTGAGCAAAGAGGACCCCCAAAAGAAGACTGTAATTCGAGGCACATGATAAGTGTCCATGAGGGCATTCAGAGATGGGGCAACGGAATGAGCAGCCTGGCATTTTTTTTTTTTTTTTATGGCAACCTGGCTTTTTCTGTTGGCTTGCACGTAGAGGAACAAGCAAAAACCTCTGGTATTTGGAGCCTGAAGACCTAGATTAGGGTTCTGACACGGACACTTCTTAGTTGTGTGACTTTACCTTTTTCAAGGTGTTTTGTCATTTATAAAATGAAGATTTTCTCATTTCTCCTGTGCAACCATGAGATCTAGTTCCAGCTAACGAAATGTAAGGGGGAGTCTGCTGGGGCTTCTGGAAGAGGTTCTTCCCTGAGAGGAGGAAAGCCCCTTTCCCCACCATCCCTGCTGTTCCTTCTCGTTTGAATGCTAGTGCAAGATCCTGATTCTCGGAGCTGTGGCAGCAATCTTGGGAACAGGAAGTAAGAAGCATGAGGATGAAAAACTGACTTGTTGAGAGTGGCAGAGTAAAGAACTAGAAATTGCCTGGGGCTTTTTGACTTTGTACAATTTTTGAACCAATCTGGAACTACCTCCCTCCAGGTTTCTAGGCTAGTGAGATGACTAAACGACTTTACTGATTGAATCACTGCTACTCAGGTATTCCATTACTTGCAGCCAATGCATCCTAACCAATACCGTGTGTATAGTGCTTATGTGGGGCTGTGCATGGGAGTGTGTTTCCTTGAAGTCATTGTGGTAGAACAGGAGAGAGCACTAAATATGAGAGTTGAAACCTGGGGGTAACTGGCCCTGCTTTAACACTCTGAACCTGGACTTATTGACCTGTACAATTGGAATAATACCACTTAACCCGTGGAGCTGCTGGGAGGACTCAGTAAAATAATACAAATGAAAGTGCTTTGCAGCTCAACAGGGGCTATACGGACAGAAGGTGTTAGAGATCCTCCTGCTGCTGGACTGTAGTGGACGACGGATAAAGGCATGCAGGCAGGAATTACTTAGGTGAATTCTGTTTTTGCCAGCAATCCCTCACCCTGCCCCTCTTCGGTGACCTCCACTGAAATATTCCCAAAGGTCTCAAGCTGTCCGCTCAGTGCCTAGCACTGTTTCCCATACTTAAACCCTGTTTCTTTTTCCCTCTCCTTCCAGTTGCTTCTCCCAGTGAGAAATGGACTCATGCTGTGCCCATCCCCTTGGTCCCAGTTAATTGTCACTCACCAATCCAGTTATGTGCTGGTGTGTGCCTGGGGCTTCTTCTGTTGTGTAGGGGCCTTACACTGATGAAATGACAACGGCAAGGGGTTGTGGCAGGAGGTCAAGGACAAGCATTTGGCTTCTTGGTGCTTCTGGGAGACCCCAGCTGGGGGGCTGTTCAGCTCACAGCTATTCCCCTCTCTGGAAGAACCTTATCTATAGATGTGAACCCCAGGGGCCTCCTCTATGCTAGGTGACCTTGCCCCTGGCCAGGAGTTGGGTGATTGACTCAGGCTGGGAGCCATCAGAACCCTGGGATTTTAAAAACTGGAGTTGGAGAAATAGATTTGGCACTCTCTAGGGAGGTCTGAGTTCTCGGTTCTGGTTATCTCTAAGGGTCACCTCCACCCCTGCCGCAATATGAAACTTTCCCAATGAACCTCTCTGTCTTGGTTTGCATTGTCTCAAAGCCAGACATGGAGACAAGGGCTTGGTTGCAGGCAGTGTATTTGGGTCATGATCCTAGAGAACACAAGTGAGGGAGTGGGGATGTGAGAAAGGGAAAAGAGAAAGCTAAAAGGGTATATTAGTGAGCAGGTTCCTGCTGTGAGCCACTGGAGCTCAATTCTGCTGGAGACCCCTGGGAAACTGTAGACCACGCCGAGGAATCGGGAGGATGGGAGGCGGGGTATTTCCCACTATCCCCATTGCTTGAGGTTGGTCCCTAGGGTGTCTGCTCCCTGGCAATTATGGGTCATGCCTGCAGCACACCCAGGCAACCTGTCTCGGAGATGGAGAGAGCCCCAGTGCAGAGAGGCCGAGAGACTCAGGCTTTTGAAGTGTGAAGCTGACAGTGTACTGGGAACTGTCTCCAGCTACAGGAAAACTCAGGTGGGCAGAGGTGATATTGAAAAAGGCATTGACAGTGTCTGCCACACCCCCTCTTGGATTAAACTGGTTCTCTCTGCGTTTCTGTCTCTTACGACCAAAGGAGTCCCGATAATGCCGCTCACCTCAGTTCTTCCCCCAGAGGCAGCCACACCCACGTCGGGCCAGCCCGGGGTACAAGGCATTGCACTTTCCTTGACATGTATGACACCACTGGCTACTGAGGGAGCACGGAAGGCAAAAGGACTGTGGCAGAATTTATGCGCTGACTGCAGGGCAAGGAGTCAAGAATGGCTCATTGTTGTTTTCTGTCCATGGAGTGATGCCACCTACTGTCTGCTGAAGTACTCCAAACACGTAAGAGTAGCCAAACAGCTGGGGAAATGGGAAGGTGCTCACTACATTCTCTTCTCCAGTGAAAAATAACTCACTTCTGGTGCCAGATCATCGCAAAGCGTGATGTTTAAACTGGACTTTAAAGATTCTTTTTTTGGAAAAAGATTTATCTATTTTAGAGAGAGAGAGAGAAAGAAAACGAGTGGGAGGGGCAGAGGGAGAGGGAGAGAGAACCTCAAGTGGACTGTGCTCAGCGTGGAGCTGGACACAGGGCCCGATCTCATGACCCTGAGATCACGACGCAAGCCAAAACCAAGAGTCAGATGCTCAACTGACTGTGCCATCCAGGTGCCCCAGGAACTTTAAAGGTTCTTTTAAGCAGCACACGAATAAAACAGAATGGTGAGCTCCAAACTGAGATGAACCACAATTATCTGCAGACCTCCTAATTACAGAAAGTTGGTTTTCTTTTTACCAACCTGAAAACAAGCTGGTTGCTTCTGTTTGGAATGCATTCAGCTGCATGGAACAGGAACATGACTTCAGGGGCTCCTATGAACCGAACTTCTTTTCCTCACGGAACGAGGGGACTGGGAGGGAGACGGTTGCTGGTGGTGGTTCAGTGGCTGACTACACTGTGGGGGACTCAGATATGGAGTCACCTTCATCCAGTGGGTGAATTATAAGTGTGCTCACTCTGTTTGATCCTTCTACTGAAGGGAACTGTGTAAAGGTAATTTCAGAGACTGAAGAAGCCAAGTAAATTAATCGATTAATAAAAGCAGTGTTAAAAATGATGAGCACAGGAAAAAGAAAAAAAAAACAACCCTCCTCAACTGCCAAAACCCCAAAACCAACCCAAAACAAAGATAATGTGCCTCAGTATTTGGCCGTGTTCTTGTTGAAAAAGTGTTCTGCCTCATACCTGGTCCTGGCCCCTCTCACACTTAAAATAGGTATTTCCTCTTTGTTTGGTTTTGTGCTGTGGTCTCCTGCACTCTGTGGCCCAAGTCATTGTCACCAGTAGGAGGCAGAAGAGCGGAGACAGCAAGGACTCGGCCCTGGCACCACGTTTGAGTGGAATGATCTGGGACCATGTATGACCCACAAAAAGGGTGATGTCTTACAGTTCAACGTAATATTATAATTATCATCATTTGGTGAGCGTTTATTGACTGCTGATCATGAAAGAATTTTAACAGCTCCTAAGTGACCAAGCTAGGACTCAAAAGGTGCTTGATGTCGGTGCCCCTGCTAAGAAGGTTGGGGCCATGCTGCTTCTGTCTAATTTTTATCCAATGCTCCTCGTCTTCTGGCCTCCAGGTAATAACGCTAAAGATAGAAACTTTTCCTACTTTTCAAACTTCACTGTGCCCCCTCAGAACATGTGAGAAAGTGCAGCCAGCATCTTCTGGAAGATTAGGAGGGCAGGAAGATTCCGTAGCCACCTTCCGGCTGACATTTGAGCCCTGCTTTCAGCACGGTCAAGCCTTTCGGAGGCAGCCAGTATATGGCTTGTATCAAACTCTATATTTAGGAAGAACAACTGTGAGCTATGACAGGAATTCTCTTTAACACTTAGCCTTACACCGAGTTTCCCTCCAGCCCCGAGCGGGGAGCAGCTCTCAGTACCGAGTGAGGCACCGAGCACTTGAGCTATTTCAGCCACATGCAAAGCATCGGAATTGAGATCACAGCTCAGAGGACACCGGGCGCCCCTTCCACCTTCTGAGGAACCTTGTATTCTTGCACCTGGCTGCCTGGGACTTTCCTTAAGCAGTAAACAAATACATAGAGCAGGTAAGCAGGAGGACCCAGCTCGGGCAACTGGGCTTTCTGAAGGAAATTTCCTTGATACCTAACTTGAAGTGACTACTTATAACTTTGTAGGCTTGTAACTAGTGGATGTAGCTTCCTTGTAAATTCACTATTCATTGGTGGTGTTGCTGATTCTGTTTTTAGAAATTGTGTGTGTTTGGGGGGGCTGTTTGAAAGAATATTGAACTAAAAGTACTTTTCATTGATTGTGACATTAAGAAAATTTCCACAGTCCACAGAGGATGAATGTATCTATGTCGTTTTCATTCTTATGGCCAGGGTTACAGTCAGTCAGCTGCAGACCGATTCGGGCTGGAAGCCTAGAAATAATCAGGAGAAACTGCAGCAGAGGAAGGCTATCATGCTAGCTCTCTGATTTACCTAAATGCAAATTATTGTTACCCAGTACAAGTTTAAAGTGCTTCTCCCCTCTCCCTCAGCGCCAGGCTTGGCCTCAATGATAAAGTTCCATCAACGTACAGATTGATTAACATCACAAAACCATCTTTTCGAAAGCCCTGCTTTGGTCACGGCGTTCCCTGTACCCAGCAGGGTGGAGGGCAGTACCTGTCTTTCTCTGTGTGGGCACCGGGTTCTGAGACCCGGCAACGATGAGTGCCTCTTGCCTCTCGGCATATTTCAGGCAAAGTGAATAAGGAGTTAGTCAGTTCAGACAGCTGAACATCTTTCTACACCCTTCTCAGGAATTATTTTTAGCTTCAGGACAGAAGATAATTCCCTTTGAGAGTGAGCTTTAGCCATCTAATAGACCTTTAAAAAGAACAAACAAAGCCCCTTCTATCCAAATATTGATTTCTTTTACTCTGAATCCCTTCTTATTAAATTAGTGATATTAATGTTGACAAATTTTTAGTAAGGGAAAGAGTCTTACTTAGAAGTCAGATTTTAGGTGTTGCCCAATCAAAAAACCAGCAGAGGTATATTGTATATGACTCAGCATACAGACCCCATTAAAGTTCCCCACTGACTTGCAGATCTTCCAGGAAAACCCAACACAACTGTGCTAAGCTGGCAAACATTTCCTTTATAGTATAGGCTTTGTAAAAGTCAATATATGTCTTGTCGAACTTTCCACGTTTCCAAATTTTAGCCAGAACCAGGAGACACAGTAATAGAGTACTTTAAACGGTACCTCTTCGGATGAAAAGCTGTGGTCAGCTGTGAGTAGAGTTGTGCCTCTAAGACATAGCTGTGTTTTTTGGTTGTGGGACGAGGCACGCAGATAAAGAAAGCAGGTGCATTCTACACTGCATCCCTAACGGAGGTGAATGCATGGCCAGGGAAACAGCCAGGGAACACTGTCTATTTTTATTCATCAGTGTGCTTTGCCCTGATTTCTCTGCGAATAATGAGGACAGTGGGAACTGCTGCAGGACGGATTTACACAAATGTTATACAGCCTGTTTGCAAGGAATGAGAGCTGGGATCTGACCAACTTTCTAAAGATGTCTCTATCGCAGATTGACATATATGTTCAGAAGGAATTCATATGCAAATGAGATATACCAAGGCCATACAGGAGACGAGGCCCAAGGTCTATCTATCCTTTAGGCTCAGAGGTCCACAAAAAACAAAGCGATCCAATAGTGTAGTGAAAAAACAAAATCAGCCTAATTAAAAAAAAAATCAATGCAATATAAATAACACAATCATTCAATGCCTGATTTCTTTTTTACATTTCAACATGCTATTGTAATAACAAAAGAAATTTCCTACTTCCTGTGTTTCAAATCGATGTGCAGTAACTTTTTGTAAGTTCCCAAGTGATATTGGTTAAACTGTAGTTGTACATGCAGAGAGAAAACTATATGCTGAGATGTTTAAAGTCCTGAGAGAATTGTTGCTTTGCATGACTTCTAATAGCTTTTGAGGAATAGAAACATTAAAAATTAAACTACCAAACTTTTCCTTTTGTTGTTGAACTGTGTATCCTAGATCCGAAAATTAAAAAGCCTTCATTGACTCTTTGACACTGTGCGGAAGATAGAAATCTATTTGAAACATATCATAGAGAAAAATGCAGTCCTCATTGTTCAATTTGTTGTTGCTTTTTAACTTTTTAACCAAAGCAAGAATAATTCTACCTAGACCCTTCTGGATGGAGGCTAACTATATCTATCTACTACCAAAACATGCAGGTGAAACTTAAAAAAAGAAAAAACTCATTGTTTTCATGAATGTGACTCCAAAGACTTACATTTGGATATACTAGAGATTTTTAAAAATTATGTAATTGTTTAACTTCATATAACAGGGCCTACGACTTTGAAGATCTCAAAAACAATGTTCTTCAGAGTTCTCAGATCTTTTATATGTACAAGTGGTGAGGAGCGTTGTCACTACGTCAATTCTTACTCTGTACTTGAAGCTGTAGGTCAGTAAATTACTGAAAAGTCATGAGCTGTGGACAACGGCGATGAAACCATCAATACTTGCATCATGCTCTAGAGTTCCCGAGGCAGTTTTGGGAACATTATGTCATTTTGATTCTCACCACAGCCTAAGAATCAGGTAAAATTTAAGGGAGAGGAAAAGGGTCTAGAAATGTTGAGTGACACTGGCCACGTGACGCGGGACGGGTCGCAAACGCCCATCCTGCTGCCTGTGTTCATGTGCTCACAGGTTAGCACATGCATTTACACCAGGCAGTAGAGGAAAGTCAGCCAACCCATTGTATGGTTTGGGTTTAAATCTAAAACGTGTCAGCATGTTTTCCATTCCCTGAATTTTTTAACTTTTCCCGTTGGGCCTGTCAACATGTCATAGACCCAGCTATGACAATACTTAGAGGTGCGAGAACAGGCCCAAGCCGGGCTGTCCCCCGTGCCCCTCCCACCAGCAAACCTTGGCCACTAGTCACCTGTAAGTCAGGTCTCCCCACCTGAGGGAAAGCACAAGTCCTTTGGGAAGGAAGCACTGCTGTATCTTGGGGAAATGACATGGTCGTGTAAATCCTTATTTGCCTTGTGAGTCTCTTCCGTTAAAAGCAAAGCGGCCGGGCGAGGCTTGTGGCTGCCTGTGTTTACAGAGCCCGGGTCCCGGACACCCAGAGTGGGGAGATGGTGGCCCGGGGCTCACAGCGTCTCCCAGGACCCCGGGTGGAACAGACGCGTGCGTGCGCGGCAGGCAGAGGGCGGCACAGTAGTGCGGACGTAGTCCAGGCCCTTTCTCTTTGGGTGCTCAATGGAGAGGAGGAGCTCCCAATGGGCTGACACACACACAGCCCTGGCAACAGCTCGTTCAGTTTCAAGCGGAGAGCTTCCGAGGCCCCAGACAAAGATGTTTTATTCCCACAACCCCTTTGCTTTGCTGCTCTCGGCAGTGGGGGCAGGAGGGCAGGGAAGGGGATGATAGGGCCTTTCAAGTTTCTGATTGCCTATCATTCGATCAGGGGCGAGGCATCTCAGCCTTTCTCCTCCTGAATGATTTATCCGGGCGCTCTAGTGTTCCCTCTCCCCGAGGCATTGGGAAGGAGAGTCTCTAAGTAACTTCAGAAACTGAGACTGAAAGAATATAGGGCCACTGAAAGGGGTGACTGCCCAGTTGAATCATGAGTTAAGTTCTAATTTATCAAGCCGGAGAATCTGAATGCCGCCACCTCTAACAGTTTCTCACTTGTTTTTTTAGGGATAAGACCCCGTGAATATGTCAAAACAGCCGGTTTCCAATGTCAGAGCCATCCAGGTAAGTAGGTGTATTTGCGATTTAACATCAGCTCTGCGACTCCTCGCTTGTTTGCTTTAATAAATCAGACCTTTTGCGATTGTTCACTCCTAACTTGGTAATTCACTTCAAGAAAAGACTGACCCCTAGGGCACAAATGAGACAGGATCTGAGGTTGGGAAGGTAGGACTGAGGAGGGAGAAGCTAGTGTTCAATTGTGCTGAATTGTGAGACAATCAAAGTTATGAGAATTAATTGACCGTCTACAAAAATGCAATGTTTAGTTTTTGGATATGTTTTTCGATGTATATATACATATACACACACATATATATATATGTATATATATATTACGATTTTATTTATTTGACAGAGAGAGAGAGCGAGAGAGGGAACACAAGCAGGGGGAGTGGGAGAGGGAGAAGCAGGCTTCCCGCGGAGCAGGGAGCCCGATGCGGGGCTCGATCCCAGCACCCTGGGATCATGACCTGAGCTGAAGGCAGCCGCTTAACTGACTGAACCTCCCAGGCGCCCCGATGTACATGTTTTTGATAGGCTCATTGATACGAATTGAAAAGTTCACTTCCCATTTTTATATCTAACTGAATTTGTTGACCCATCTGTTTAGAACATATCATTTCTTGTCAAGCGTCCTTTCTAAGGCTTGGGTATGCATCGTGTAAAGTCTGGGTGCTGTTATATTTCCTCATGCCTTCCCAGCAAACAAATTCTTTGGTTGCTTCAACTGACTTAAGAGTCACCCCAAAAAAGGGGAGGGGGACACAGGCATTTTGGAACACAAATACAATTATGAAAATAACTTTCAGTATTTGTCTTTACTCCATACTTGTTATTCTCTTAAGGTTTTTGTGCTTAATTCTCAAATGGCCCCCACACTGTGATGCCGGGCATGATCCTTTATTGTAACATTCCATCTTTCTCTTGCATTGACCTAGAGTCATCCATGCTACCTCTAAAGGAACGTTTAAACTTTTTTTTTTCCTGGACTTTTCTGAATACCGCAGGACGTGTGGCACAGTTCCTGAATATTTGGGGTCTGATACACCATCACAGCATAAACATAAGTGATTGACCGTATTTTGGAAGGACGTGCATGTGGCCAGGTTGTGGGGTTAGAAATCCTAGCACACGCCAGTGGTAGAGGTGGGTGGAGGGACAGATCTTTAACCTCTCAAGACTAATGCACGGTCTTAAGTGGATGGGCTTCTTAAGTGGCAAGATGTATTACAACCCCTGGACACTTGTCATAGAATGAACTACCAAGGAAGAGCCTGTTGGCAAGGATCCAACTCCGCATTGCCATGTTTGGCCCTTTTGTGTCTACCTAGTGAGTCTTTGACATACCTTGACATTGGTAGTGGAATTTATTTTGCCTCCCAGACCTGTGGGCATCCTTGAGCCTTTGAACCTTCTTTACTGGAGTTTGAATCCTTAATCCATACAGGTGTGGAATCACGGGAAAACTACTTTCTCTCTCTGCTTCTCTTTCTACATCTGTAAAATGGGGATGATAACAGTGCTCACATCCTAGAGCTACACATACAAGTTACTTAAAACAGCACAGTAAGCCCTCATTAAGGGTCAACTATTATCATAGTAATTATCATTCAGGAATGTTCTTTGTTAACGTGATGAGAAATCATATCATTTAATCACTGCTTTTGAAGCTCCCAAGGTGCTAAACATAAAATTTCCTTTTTAGGGCGCCTGGGTGGCTCAGTTGGCTAAGCGACTGCCTTCGGCTCAGGTCATGATCCTGGAGTCCCGGGATCGAGTCCCACGTCGGGCTCCCTGATCAGCAGGGAGTCTGCTTCTCTCTCTGACCCTCCCCCCTCTCATGCTCTCTATCTCATTCTCTCTCTCAAATAAATAAATAAAATCTTTAAAAAAAAAGATTTCCTTTTTATTTTGCAGGACACAAAAACATAGTCTTCTCTCAGTCTGTCTTTGCTTCTCTTCCTTTTAAAGCTGAAAGTGTGTTGATTTTTCTTCCTTAGTGCTTTCTGGCTTCCCTCAAATCTACGCTGAAAATTCACCAGTATTTTATCTACTAATTCTGACCTTGATATATTTTTAGGTCTGTAATATTTAAAAAGCTGCTATGGACTCTTCTCAGTAAGTGTTGTTTTACTGCATTTAAAAAATTCCATCCACTCTACCAACAAAGGCAATAGAGTGCTTCCTTATGGATGTGGTTTTGCCTCTTTCAATATATTTTATGCCTAATTTAATGCACCTTCAAATGAAATATTATTTCTCGTGGCTAAATAGGATCTGTACTATCTGATATTTTTCTATCATCTCTTCATTAACCTAAAGTAGGGTCTATTAAATAAAATTTGAAAATGGTTACACTGTAGAAATGGTTTATAGTAGTAACATTATCTAGGGTACAGTCATGTCTAGAACAAATAGAAACCCCAAATGATGAGGAGTGCCCTCATTGTGTAAATACCACTTAAAGATGTTAAATGTTCTATTCAACATGTTCTAGTTGCTTCTCCTTTTTATTTTATTTTTTTAAAAGATTTTATTCATTTATGTGACAGAGAGAGACACAGAGAGAGAGGGAACACAAGCACGGGAGTGGGAGAGGGAGAAGCAGGCCTCCCGTGGAGCAGAGAGCATGATGTGGGGCTTGATCCCAGGACCCCAGGATCATGACCTGAGCCGAAGGCAGATGCTTAATGAATGAGCCACCCAGGCACCCCTTCTTCTCCTTTTTATTAGGATCTTATTTCCAATGCAATTCAACTGTCATTTCCTGGGTCTTTGTGACAGGCACTGTGCAAAGTGCAGGCCATGCAAAGATGAATTGATACCTGATCCCTCTGTTTGAGGAGCTTGTTGTCTCCAGGCCTTACTAGCTATGTGACTTTGGGCAAGTTGTTTATCTTCTTTGTGCCTTGGTTTTCTCATCTATCGAGTGGGGGATTTAATAACAGTACTTGTCTCATAGGGTTGCTGTGAGAGTTAAATGAATTAATACATGTGAATGCTTAGGCCAGTGTCTGGCTGGTTATAATTGCTTAATAAATATTAGCTGTTATCATCAGTCATCAGTCATCATCATCATCATCATCATCACCATATCACCATCTACACCATCATCTAGTTCAACAGTTCCCAAGGTGTGTCTCTTGGAATACTAGTTTTATGGGATGTCATTTGTTAATTAAAGGGTTCCATGATAAAGTGTTTGGGAAACACTAAATTCAGCGAAGTTGAATAGGATTTTTACTGCAGGATTTCTCAGAGTCCATAACTTCCTAATGGCTTTGTATATTTTTAAGAAAGTGGTTGATGTAGGCAGAGTTTTCAAAACATACAGGAACTTTCAAATGAGTATTTGGCAGCATAGTATTTTGCAGTGAAACTTCTAGAAAATAATGACTTCGATCTCTATTTTGTCTGGATTGAGCAAACTTAAGCCACTGTCAGCTATATTTAAAACAGTTAGGCATTTAGATAGTTGAACTACTGCGCCTATGTGCATCAGACAACATGGAGCCAAATGGTTACAAATCTCTGCCTGGCACTCACTCACTCTGGGACCTTCATTCACCCTTAGTTTACCCTTCTGTAAAACGGGGACAATCATACTACTTGAAAGGATTGTTATAATGAATAAACTAATGAATGGCAAGTGCCTGGTTTATAGCACACAGTTCCTTAAGAGATGACTCTTCTAACTGCCCAAGTAAAGCATGAAATGGCCTTGGTTTCTCTTCAACTGGTTCCATCCCCTCCATGCCCCAGATTAACAGGGAGGCCAGAACTGCCCTGAGAGGGCTTGGACAGCTGTCTTTCATACCCACATGGAAAAGGTGGCCTTTGAATTGTAAGGGAATTCTATCTAAGTCGATGTTTCTTTTCAGTTGTACTAATGAAATCACATTTATGCCCGGGACATAAAAATATCCTGAAGGAATCAATTGATCCTTCCTTTGCCTGGACAGGGCCTTTGTCTCCCAAAGCATCTATAAGGCTGTATACCAGATGTCGGCAAATCTTTTCTATAAAGGGCAAGATTGTGAATATTTTAGGATTTGCACATCATTGGGTCTCTGTTCTAACTACCCAACTCTGCCATTAGAGCACAAAAGCAGACATAGGCAATGCATAAATGAGTGAGGGTGGCTGTGTGCCAATGCCACTTTATTTATAAAAACAGGTGGCAGGTTGGATTTGGTCCATGGGCCATAGTTTACTGGCCCTCATTCTGTACTCTCCAGGCTGCTTGTTACACCCCACTGTTGATGGGGATGGAGTTGCAACCAAGGTAACATCAGCACACTCAGCATAGTGGGGCTGATCCTTCAGATGAAAACATTTGACATGACAGGTGGGGAAAGCTAGAGCTGCTGGGAAATCCAGTCCCTTCGGTGATCTGCTCGGCAAGTCTTTCTAATGAGACCAAGTGACATTGGTCACTGGCAGCACCTGCCCGTCCTTCCCCTTCCTCCTGAACACACCCCCTTTGGAAACCACCATGGGCCTCCCTAGGGCCTCAGCCCACCCAGAGCCAGTGTTCTCTGGGTCATCACTGGCTTTTCTCTCTGCCGTTGACCAAAGTGAGCTGAGTATTATTTGTCCTCTCTCATGAGATCCATGAGCTTCATGGTTGAATGGAAGAGTCCTGTGCCCTAGTCTTAGCCCTGCTCTGTGACTTCAACCCCCTGGTCTCCATGATCTGCAAAGGAAGGTGTTGCATTATATGGCCTCCAAGCCTCTGTGTAGCTTCTAATAATCTTTGAACTTCCTGAGAATAATTTCTAAGGTTTATTATTAGGATTATAATAATAGTCACAATTTTTTCAGGGTTTACTATGTACTTGGCACAGTGCAATGAGATCTCCATGAAATATAATGAAAGGTTTAGAGAAGTGAAACAACTCGCCCAGGATCACATAGCTTGTGAGAGTCAGGACCCGAGATCAAGTTGTCTGATCCCAAAGCCCATGTGTGGAACCACTCTACAACATTCTCTAGTCTCATTA